GTGTTTCTATTTAGTTTGGTTTAAGTGTGTTTGAATTGTGGATTTTTCTACGTAGTAAATCATGGAATCAGCCAAGAATTCATGGACGAGGTGTTTGCATAAAGCAAAAGGTTGTTTTCCAATTACAGATCTAGGTTTTCTCAAACCCAGATCTGGGTTTTCTCTCACAAACTTCATCTTCTTCCTCCTTTCCTCCTTGATAGTTTTGCCCCCTCATTCTCTATCAACCTTCCTTCCTTTCCCTGCTCATCCTTCTTCTTTCTTCTTCTTATTCTTTCTCTCTCTCTCTTCTCCCTTCTCCCTCTCAAACCCAGATCTGGGTTTTTCTCAAACCCAGATCTGGGTTTCTCTCAGGCCCAGATCTGGGTCCGTCTCGACATTTTTACCTACCAATTGTCAAACTCTCTTCATCAAACTACTCTTTCGCCCCTCTACAAATTCATCATCGCCAAACCCATTTTTCCTTATTGGCACAAACCTTCATCCTCTCCGCCATTCAACCTTTCTCCCATCTCAGACTTCTGATTTTTCTATCACCGCCACACTACTACACCTCAACAAAACCCAGGAAACCAACACCCACACCATTGACCATGGCTGGCAAAAGGTCACCTACGCCAAGAGGCAGCGGAAGCCCAAGTCGAATGCAGATGTGGGAGATGTAGTTCAGGTGGCGATGATGACAAGGATGAGGATGGCAGTCTTAAAGATTCGAAGGAGAACGAAAATGCAGAAGAAGTTAAGAAGTTGAAGCCGAATAAACCGAACCCAAGGTCAGTGACGTGGAGGTCGCCGCCAAGGTCGCCACCAAGGTTGATTCACCATAGATCCAAATGTTCATGGGTACCTCTAATTTGAGTTATCAAGGGAGAACCCACACAGATCTGGAAGGAAAAAGCGGAGGAAGAAGAAATGGGGGAGAGAAAGAAAAAGAAAAAGGTAGGAGGAAGAGGGAAGAGGAGGAAGAAGGCTGGGAAAGAGGACGGGGCAGTGGGATGAGAGAGAAGAAGGGAGGAAGAAGAAGAAGAATAATGCAATAATAAATGATGTGGATTTTTATTTAAATAGAAAAAAAAAACACATGGAAAAAAAAAAAGCCATCTCATCACCTTTTGCATGGTGTGTTATTCCACGTAATTATTATTTTTATAAAAATGTGATTTGGTGGCATTTTAACAGTCAGCTGTCCATTAAAGATGATTTTGGTGTTTTTTAAAGTTGAGGGATAATTTTAGTGCCAAAGTGAAAAGTTGAGGGACCAAAATGGTACTTAAACCTAAAAAATATTAAATTTTCTTACATGGAATTTACATGTCATTAAAATTAAAAAAATCCAGTGATTTGCTGGCAAGTTAACGTGCCACCTGTCATTTAACTAACGGAAGAATCATTTTGGTACTAAAAATGAAAGTTTAAGGATAATTTTGGTACTTTTTAAAGTTGAGGGACAATTTTAGTACCAAAGTGAAAAGTTGAGAGACCAAAATGGTACTTAAACCTTTTTTTTTTCCATGTCATTAGT